AATTTTCATTGAGGTATTTGTGGCAAAACCGTTCATTTTTATCTCTCTATTGTAATGTTGTTGCATCGGTTAACAAAAATAAACATCAACTGTGGATGAAAGTATCCGGAAATGTGTTTCATTCGTTGACAAATTGCGATGTCGTTGCATATTTTGCAAGCATTTATAAATGTCAAATGAACATCACTGGAATAAAAAGACTGGCTGTGTGCGAAAAACGAGAATGATGAGGTGTTTTTTGCGTTTCGATGTTTGTTGAAAATTTTGTTCATATTTTTTTTTTTTCGTTCGATAAAATGTGCGGGCAACCGCTTCGATACCAAATGGTGTTCGGTACAAAATAATTTATTGGACAAGTAAAATGATTGTTGGCCTAACCTTTTTTTCCAAGAAAACCATCCATTTTACAATCTTTTACTCCGTTCTTTCGTTTTGGGTTTTGTCTCGAGAGCTTCGCAACAGCACACAGTATATCGACAAAACAAAGAAAGAGACGAGGAACAATATTTGGAGTTATATTACTTCTGCATCGGCAACCAACCTCAATGAATTATTTATAGTGTGGGAGCGAAAATGACATATCATGTGAATTCCCAGTGTGGTATATGTGTGTCAAGTAACACAATCCACACGAAGCACACAGATGATCGATGCGGAAATGCGTTCGGCAAAAGAGTTCGAGTATATCAATTCCAAATTTTCAAATACCAGAACCGACGATACGATATCTCGAAATTTCATTTTGGTTCTTTACATTTTCCACAGCAGTTGCTGGGAAGATGCTCCAAACTATGGAATGTGGATAGAGACATGCCCGACAGCAGATTGAAATACGAAATGTCTACTGGAAAGTGGTTTAGATACATACACACACATACTCACATTGAAGCTGGCAGGTATCAACAAATCGATTTGTAATGTAAATATCTTCCTATTCGAATAGCGTTTTGCTTCACACGGCTACAAATGGGCTAGGCCAATTCAAACTATTGTACATTTACATGGCAAGTGTAAAATTTTAACTGAAGTCATACATGCTTTTAGATGTTTTTGTTGTCACTCTTTGGAAAATTACCAATGGAAGCCATTGAACATGATGAATGGAATTTAAGTTTTGACACCGGTCTAGTTTGAATTCGACATGAATAAAATGGCCATCACAAATTTAAACATTCCCCGAACTAATTAAGAGGATATAGAATAATACTCGGACCATTTTGTAATTCCCTAATCCAAATTTGGGGTTGCGAAAAGGAATTTTATTCAATACTCCATCAATTCAATGCAAAATGGGGAGCAAGTAAGTAACCAGTTTTTGGTTAGTTGACATTTTGATGAAATATTGTGCAGCGTCAGGGTTGGTGACGGCTCAATGAAAATGCCAGAAATATGATGTTGTTATATAATTTATATTAAGCTCAAATTGGATTGTTTACCACAAGCATGTACGGCTATTCAGAAATAGTCAAAACACACATTACAGCAATGACATCTATTGGCGTGGAGAGTTTTTTAACCGAATTGAAGGCTCAGAAGAATTTCCCACAAAATAACATGTAAATGTGGAGAAAAGAAAGAGAACCAAATTAACTTCATTTAAAAAAACTAGAGATGGCGCATATTAGTTCTTTACGCAAAAGTAAGTACTACAATCCCATACAAGTACTATACGGTTGGTTTACCATTAGCCGGAAGTGGTTTCTGTCTTCGATTTATGATCGTTGAACACACAGCTCAAAACCATATATCGATATAGAGAGAAAAAACAGACAAAGCAAAGAAAAAACGACATATTGCTGAAAATCTGCTGATTTTTTCTTTGCCATTTTTTCCACTTCCTTCTATGGATGATAGATTGATTGAATTGGATTCATAATGGATTTCCTCCCGTAATATTGGCAAAGCCAAAGAAAAACGGAAGAAATTTCCAAAGATTGAATTGGTCAAAGGAGGAGGGAAAAAAATTTAACATCAAACGTATCGAGCTAACTTTCAATTAACGAAACGAAATTAATTGTACTTCCTGAATTGTGCAGAAAATAATGGGAGAAAAGTTCAGCTTTGACGTTTGACATGCTGAGGAAGAGGTAGAGAGAGCGTAAAGAAAATATGTTGTTTCCATTTCCAATAGCTAAGTAGTTTTCGTTTTACGCTTGCCACCCTTGCGTCAGCGTTGAGGATTTAGTTGAAAGAGTCATGCGAACTCAAGCTGCTTGAATATAAATTACCAGTTGGCTTGTCTTGTGCACACGACAAACGAACGGGAGAACGGGACGAAGTGTGAGAACGCAAGTGAGAGAAAGAGACCAAAGTGCAATAAACAAACTGGCCTCACGGGCATCCGTCCGTATTTCTTATGTACACACAAAGTACATGGTCGTAAAAAAACAAATCGTTCACAGCAAATATCTCGTCCATCGTTTTCTCTCATACTTCCATTCTTTCATTCTCTTCCTCTCGCTCGCGCTCGCCCTCGTGCAAACTACGAGCGAAAAGAAGGAGAAATTCTGATTCGCTTTTATGCGACTCCGTGTCGAATTTGTTTGTTGTTCACACATTACTTTTAACGGCAAAACTTTTTGCTTCTTTTCTCATTGACTACAACTCTCGTTCTCGCTCTCGCATAATATGCATCAAATGTAATAACCCCTGAAGTGAAGAGCTCACTTGTCGGGTGAAGTTGTGCATCGCAACTGGCAAATAAACACAATTTAATCCCTGAGCATTGATTGTCATTTGACTTGCATCGTAAATCCTTGACCAACCCAACAATTTATTCATAAGGTAACGAACCAGGCACAGGCGTGTGTGTGTGTGTGTTTGGCCTTCTTTTTCTCCACCATTTGCAGTCGGGATTTTTCTAGGTTTTTTTTCTTCTAGACCGAACAGATGGTGCCATGCATCAAATCAAATCGAACTTTTATATGACATGAGATTTATATTCATTTGTGCGCTATGAATTCCAAAGGCTTAGCAAAAAGGCTATTCGTCTGGCTGATGGGAGCATATCTCATTGGACATATTTTATTCATTCGCCGAAAATCCATATATCTCTTTGCTCCCACCCGTGGAATCAATTACCCTTAATTTTGTTGTGCATCAAGAATTGATTGTTCCATTATACATTTGACATTTGTTGAGTTGGATCTCTTTTGTCACGATACACAACTTCCGATCGGCGCCATGGAAAAAGGTGAAGCGAAGCGACTGTGACCGCAGAACTTTTTCTCTGATTGAATGGAAGCATCTACGTGTTCATCTACTATTTTATAAGTTAAGGCCATTTGTCCGTTAGGTGTTTTGTGTTCAACTATGTTTGTCATTTTTCTCCATAATCGCTTGTGATGATTGCGATGGTTTTTTTGTTTCAAATCACCATGAAGATTTGTTTTTTTACGACCATGTACAACTTTTATGGACAACTTTCTTTCGCGCTTGTCTACACTCAAACTCTAATGAACATTTTAAATGAAATGGGCAAAAAGTTGAAATTGACACACAGGAAATTGAATTGCACTCGTAGTTGATCATAGTTACTCGTATCTTTTAATGTTCACAAAGTTTTTTTTCCTCCATCGACAACGGAATGGGATGCTTGACAGCCAAGTGGATCTAAGTAGCGGAAACCATGTTAGTTTATTTTTGGAAATGCTTTTAAAATTGTTTGAAAGCATGTAGAATGCAATCAAGAAGCAAGCATTTTTCCTCCATAACTCGATTTGGTGATTAATAAATCTCAATGAAGTGTAATGGTTGTTTTTTTCTTGTTGTACCTAACGCCACTCGGCATTTATCCTGGTGATGATTGATGCTGTAGACATAACACACGCAACCACTTTCAAGAGAAGGGAAAAAACGCAACATTTCGTATACTTTCAACCATATCCACACATAATAAATAATAATTATTTTGTGTATGTTTCGTGTGTGTCGGCGAAAAAAAACGATGCGTGTTTTCAGCGGAAAGAAGAGATTATCGATTGCACGCGCGCATCTCTTCTACTTCCGAGATCATGTTCATCCGTTTAAGGTTTTTTTTGTGTGTGTAAACATGTTCTGGTAACGGGCTTCGATTTATTTGCCTAAAATTCGCTACGAGATAAAAAAAACTCGGCGAATGAAAAGACGATGTGAAATATTCAAAGACATATTATATGTATCAAGTTTTGGGAACGCATTTCATTTGGTAAATATTAGATTGGGTTGACTGCAACTGAATGAATAAACGGGGCGGGGAGTATTAAAGGGAAGCACAAAAATCGTCTGATATATTCAATATTTTCTTTTATGAAATTGCTCTTTAAAAAGAAAAAAAATAGCAGTACAAAGGAGCGATGTAGAGAAAAAAAATTGAGATTTAAATGGTAAAATATCATATATATGTGCGTTGGTGGAACACGTTTCTGGATTGTATTTATGTTGGTAGATACGTTTTGCTCACAACGATTCAAACGAAAATATATATTTCTATGGTATAATTTAATCCTACTCATACGGGTCTCAACTAGGATCTCAACCACCGACTTTATTATATTTTTTTGTTCGCATTTGCAAATGTAATACATTTCCTGCGACCAACATATTTTCCATTTCCATAATTCAATTTGAAAGGAAGACTTTTTTTCGCAGCCTTTTGATAAATGATAGATTCACACTTAATAGATTCATGTAATATCCTTGATTTCATTTTTATCATTCTATACTGTGAATAGCTTCATTTTTCAAGTATACACGATTAACTTTAACCGTGCAAATTAATCTCACTTAAGGCTGTGTTCGGAAAACATGTTACATAATTCGTAAATAACAATCTTATTTTGATGTTGAAATATCCACTTTGAAGATATAATAAACTCTGCTTCCTCTTGATCTATTTTTGGTGGTGTTTCAAGGTCGAATTGTTTTCTAGAGTCAATATACGACGGAAGACGAGACTCACCTTTGTCAATGTTTTCCATTCTGTTTGGGTCAAACACTTCAGAGGAAAAGTAAATTTAAACTTTGTGCTAATATTAACTTTATTTCATTTAAAAAAAACCATCAAAATCAACTTTACTCCTTCTTTGCATCGGTACAAAATAATCTTTTCCGTGAGTTTTTCAGAACGTAAGCATGTAATTTAACAATAAGTTAATTTTAATTTAAACATAAATTTGACTTTCGTAGTTTTTGTGAAGAGACTTTTATATCTTGCGCGCTAAAATACTGTCTTTCTGTTAAGAAATTCTTGAAATATATAAATCCAACGGGGAATTTTTCCACATTTTTTGTGTGTGAAAAAAGAGACTGGCTAAACTTTCGAAATCTCCTTCACGATACATCAAATTTGAACAATTTTATAGAATCGCTTTAACGAAAATAGAATATCATAGTTTGAAATATTTTTTCATTACAATTACGCCCAAAACATTTTTTCATCATAAAACTTAATTGGTCAGACTATGAAGATTTTATACAATACGTTATTCATGTGTATAGTATTTAATATATATATATTCATGGAAGATTTATTCTTAGTGGAAATGACAGATGAGAGCGATTTCATTTTGATTTGTTCGAGAGAAAATAGAATTAAAATCGTTTTTCTCCTACTGATGAATTTGAGCTTGTTTCTTTTTTTTTGCAGTTATTGTTGTTGTTGATCACACTATACTTTGAACATCTGGATCTAATGAACATCCTAATAAATCGATATACTCTTAACTACTAATTTGGCCTCCATTTAAGATTCTCGGTATTGATCGCGTGGAATGATATTTTTCCGGCCGAGGATTTTCATCAGTTGCTTTGACATGAAGTATGGTTTCTCCTCGGAACCATCGTTTCGCTCGCAGTCTTCCAAAAAGCACAGAAACAGTGTGTCCACCGCCATGGAATACACTCCAAAGAAAACGCTTGCAATGAGATATGTTGCAAACATCACAATAACCACGGGAACTTGTACGTAATTCAATTTCTCGGCGTATGCTTCGCTAGTGAAGTAGGCATAGGTCACTGCACCCATTCCCACCGTAACTAATATCTTGGTCAAGAAGAATAAGAATTCGGTGACTTTGTCCAGGGCAACCACACGCAAAAAGTTTCTCATCAGCAGATTGAAGGCGTCACGTGCACTGGTGCAGAATGGTTTACCGTGTATTGCACACATGATGTATGCATTTTTACTCAGGAACCGCAAAAATCGCTCCAAACACCAACTTTGGGAATATTAGACGGATGATATGATTATTATATAATATATATGCAATATTGAACGGTGTTGAAATTTCACATACAAGAAGCATTTGCAACAGCACAGAATGCATCTGGTCACTTCGTTGTCCCATTTCTTGAGCTTTTGGTCCACGTACTCCAACAATACACGAATTACGCGGCAAATTGTTATTACAAGCGACCCGAACGCAACGGTTCCCAAGTGATATCTGGAAGATGAACCAAATTTTTAAATCTATCGCCCTCTTCTGAACCAAATACTTTGGAAAGTCATTCAATTTACCTTATTGATCGTCCGAGGCCAACAGTTAGTGTGAAGTATGGCACATCCTTCTTATGGAATGTCCAATACCAAGTGGCAAATGTGGCAGCCAACACCATTTCGCCCAGAGCCGATACAAAGAATATTCCCCAGAAGAATCCGAACACATTGAATGCCTGAAATACAGAGGATTTGTTTTAGTTTCAGTTTCAGTTTTTGCACTTGTTTTTTGTGTCGATTGAAGTGAAATAAATACAATATCAGTTTTTACCTGATAATATGGAACAATCGGTGGGCTTTGAATCTCTTTGAAATTACACGCTGCTTTTATGCATTCATTTCCAGATGTCTTATCCTTGCAAAACTGATTAAATAATTCTGGAACGCACATAACACCATCCTAATGCACAAAATATGATTATCAAAAGACAATTACGATATTATTCGATGTTTAATAACTGTTCTGAAGAGCGAAATATGTTTGGACTTTGGAATAAAATAAACAATTATTTTACATTTAACAGGATTTTAAAACATTTCGTTTAACCTAATTCACAAAACCTGTGTAAGCTCCATTGAGCTTTTTATCTGAAACCATTCAATGCAATTCCGTTGTAAACCTTTCAAAACCGTACAAAGTCATATTTTTTTACCGTATAATGCGAGGCAATGCCGGAACACTGGCAGTTTGAATCCTCCCTCATCCGAAGCACTTGATTGACTGGCGTTCCGATTGATGCCAAATAAAGACCGACGGCAATGGCAAACGCAGTAACGGCTATTTGGAAGATCCATGGGAATATGGGAAAGAACACAGTCGAATAAATTGAGCTCACAACTCTGAAAAGAATCAACAATAATTAGAACCACTTGAATCCACTCATTGTGCGCGCATTTTAACTTACTTGCTGCCTTCTTTAACAAGAGCGATTGCGATCACAATCCGCTTTCGGAGCACCAGCACTACCAAGAGTATGATGAGCAAGAGAACGGCGGCAACGATGCCAAAAACTAGCCATGTTGTTGGGTTCTGTAACCATGTATCAAATAGCAAACTCAAGTTTGTATTGACATTTACATCAGTTGGTGGTCGATCACGCAAATGAACGTACTCCTTGAAGGAATAGTATGTTCCTGAAATCATCATTCGTTAAAATTCTTTCTCTCGTGTTTTTTTTTGTTAAATCCTTACCGAATCCAAGCATTACAATCACTCCCAGTATCGACAACCAAACCAATGGCGTTGCTACCCAGCGCATCACAGCAATCACGATAAGGCAGAAGAACATTGCAATGAAAATATCCGCACCGATTTCCCATCGAATTTTCAAAACATCTTCAACGATCCGTTGACCCATCTGTGGTATTGTGAAATATTTGTTAGAATCGTGTGGATGGTCGTTCTTATTGGAATGAAGTTTATTTTTAATGTTATATTCTATGGTGGGAGTCTTTAGTCATTACGAGTAGCTAATCGCAGTTTGGATTTTATAATGAGTCTGAAAATTATTGATAAAATGCTAGCAATCTATGTTAACGAACGGCTTGGCATTAAAATTACTCAATCTACTCGGTTTGAGTCACTAAATGGAACGGTCGTTTGCTGCCATGCAGTTTCGATCTTACGAATTTTGGCATTGTTCATCTTTCATAACTTACCCCTTCGAATTCGGAAAGTAATTCGATATTTTTTACCGCGCTTAGCAAAATACTAACAACATCGGTGGAATTCGTAATTTCTGTCAAGTTGACGTTCTTTTCTGACGCAACATCAATCAGCTCTGTAATGTTCTTTGGCACACATCGTTTCACCACTAAAGGAATAAAATGGATGGTTGTGTTTACTTCCATCGAATTTCAGACGAATGATTGCATTAAGGTCATAAGTAAGCGTTGACATAATTGACAATTTGGTTGATGATTTAACGACGGTTTGAAACGTCACATAATGAGAGAACGATGTTAGAACATTCAATGAATATACACACAGGTTATATCCCGTTTTATCCCCTATCTTCACACACATAATAAGCATTTCCCAAACTGCATTTCGAATGCCCCATTTTCAAACATTGAACAAGAATTTGTAACTCCCCATGCAGTGTACTATGTACTCACCTCTTGAGCGTTGGTTTGATTCGAGAAAATCATGATAAAATTTCCCACAAAACGTGATAGCATTGAATCAGTGTAGTGTCCTTTTTCGATAAGAATTTGCGTACCGAGCTTGTTACGTTCTTTGCAATCCAATGGCGGTTCATTGACCGCCGTTTGACTTAATGCCGTCAAATTATCGGGAAATCGTATCGGAGATCGTCCAATTCGATTTAACGAAAGTGCTGTATCATTTTGTGTCACACTTCTTCGATAACGTTGACTTCGTGCCTGTTTCAAGATGCTTTTTGGAAAAATCGGACACTCGTTTTGCGGCAGCCCTGATATACATCGCTTTAAAACTAATTGTTTTGACAAAATGGAAAAGAATGCAATAAATACACAACACAACTAATCTACATTCAACGAAACGAAACTACTACAACAAAAAACATATATATTTTATAAATATATAAAATGTTTGATAAAAACAAAACAGAACGACGTAAAATTAAATGTATAAACTAAAAACATGTACGCGTTATGGGAAGTAAACAAAGAAACTACGGAAATTATAACATTGATACGAGATATCGAGAGAAAAAAGAAATGACCGATGTAATACTTACATGGATTACTCGGTAGATACCAGCGAGCACAGTCTCCGTTGTCAATACTACGTTTTATGGCAGTGCAATCGGTGATCGCAAACTTATTGACATGTTTTTGACATATGAGTTTTTCACGAATTTCATAGAATTTGGCCGAGTTGCATATGTATTCGCTGTAGATGAATGCCGTTGTAGGGCATTCTCGAACACAAACCTGTGGCGTTTTGCAACCGAACAGCGGCACACGTGCATCGATACATTTTTCCAGGTTAAAAAATAGCAGATATGGTTCATTTATAACACTGTTGTCGACGCCACATTTACGACCCTGCGAATCCGTCGGAACCAGCAGACGATCCAAGTCACCATTTTTTATTGCTATATATCCAAAATAGAATCATGTTCATTTCGTTTTTGTTCTATTCTATTGAAATCGAAATTCATACGATTTCATGCGATGCGTTACACTTACCGAAATGAGCAATGAAACCCCACACACAAAGGAAAACGATAAAAATGAATAAACAACAGACGTCGGTGCAAGAGCGTTTCGAGAGTGGGCCTTTGAAGTTTTTATCATATTTGAGCGTTTCACCTGTCAAATATCGGACAAAAGTGGGTGATAAGAAAAAATGGTGTAATCGCGCTGAAATATAAATGAATTACTCATAGGCAATTGCTGAAAGTAGACATCATTCGGTGATGGTTGTACGCTTTTTCGCTTGCCATCCGAAAAACAGCAACCCATGATTAACTGACAAAACGACTGACGTGTACTTCAAAGTAAACACGATTAAATAAATTTAGTTCACACTCGAGAATCACTTTTTCGTTTCCACAGAATTACAATGATAAATCAAAAACATCATAACAATTTTGCGACAGTGATCTCAAATTATACACGGATGTGAAGAGTATTTATATTTGATCGAAATTTCTTCGTTTTCTAAATATTTCTTTATTCTTTTTTATTTTATTTATGGCGAACGGTTGTGTTGAGGACCTTATCTCGAGCAAACAGAGAGCACAGAAACAGTTTAGTACGACACACGATCACAGACTGAACACAGGCTATTGGATTGAGTGGCGCGCTAATGAGTGTTTTCACCAACAGTAAAACTTTGTTAATGTTTGTGCTAATACAGACATATGGCTCGACAATATTTTTTCTTTCACTCTCTTTCTTTCGTTAGTTGTCGTGCACGAACACCCGTTTGTTTGTGTTCCGTATTTCGAAACTAAATGACTCACACGTTTATCGTAACACAAACGAATAGCCACAATTCGTTGTTGTTTGACTAACATAAGTGACATGCAATAGTAGTTTAACGTTATGCGGCTTGCGCTTGTATTCTTCATCAGATTTGGTAACGCATATCGCGACTCTCTATCGGCTATCGAGCACTTGCGATAATAGATAAAACATATGAACCACTTTTACCGATTGATTCATAACAAATGAGTGAGAGCACTGCCCTATGTTTATCGTGAAATTTAACGGTTTTAATTTCTCATCGTAATAAACAAATTGTTATCACATTGAAATTGTCAAGAGATAAACAGAATGTTGAAGACAAAGCGTAATTCGAAAAAAAGACAAAAAGAATTTTTGGAAACAGACTTTTTTGTTCAGAACAATACGATGCGGGCTATATCCCCACACAATAACAATTGTTTATTAGTTGCAATTGACATCTTGTTCAATAATCCCGGGTGCGATAAATTCTGTTTACGCTGCACTTAGTCATTTGTTATTGTTTCTTTACAGCGAATGTATAAAGTTTTTTTCACACACTCTCGAATGATATCTACTTTTCAACAGCCAGTTTATTAATGGCTTGCTTTATTAATATTTAAACCATTTATTAACAATGATATCATAGCTTACGTGGTGCCATTTGACTTGATCACAGAGACCGGTTGCCAAGTTTCAATTCGAATATTCTTACTAAATAAAACTGATCTATTTTAATGGAAATGCACCACACTCCCGACCGTAAATTGTAACTGACACGAGTGATTTTCTCAAACTGATTGAATGCTGTCGTTGGTCCGCAATAAAAAAGCATCGAGAATGAGCTGTCGTGATGCGATCTAATCTAAATTGAGATTTGATATTGTTTCGTTGCAAGCGCAATGAGTCGTGAGCTTGTGTCTGGGGTGTCTGACGCACACACAAATAAAATCATACATCAAAATTGCTGGAGCTACAACTATGCTGGTTTCTTCGAATTATTTTTCTGATGACGCGACAACTTGCGATAGTTTATAATTTCACGCAAGAACACCAGGAAAAAAATTTCTTCACAAAAATACGGCCCAATGCCTCAATCATTGTATTTAACCAGTTTATTAATTTGACCATCAAATTGCACCACTAAAAGCCTATAAAAATACAATTGAATTTCAAACAACCCGTAATCAACTTACCGTAATCATTTTCGTCCGAGTCTCTGCGACGCTCGTTGTCATCACCGTCGCCGCCACAACAAGACATCTTTTGCGGTTTATTTTATCACCAAAGGGCGTAAAATGTCTGAAATACGTCGAAACCATGAAAATTCACTTGAAAATTGATTCGGTTTGATGAATAAATACACACTGCAGTCTGCAGTGAAATTGGAAAAATGAAAGTGAAAAGTTTCCTGATGCGTTTCGAGGTGTAACCATAGAGTAAATTGAGTCAATAAATTGATATTGATTTACATGAAAAATCGTATCATTGTAAAACAAACAACCAAATATAGTTAGTAAACAATTCGTGCTTGTTATCGCCGCTCAGCGCAAACGAGTGCATTTTCAATGAGCACTTATTTATCGTTTCAATTGCTGCAGTAAAATTAACTGCACTCGACTGATCTTGTGTTTTCCCCGCTTTTTGCACAGACACACACGTACACGCAGACACGCACAACGATTTAAATTAATTTGCAAAAGCCATAGAATTGCCCGACGACGGCGGCAATAACCTTGAAAATTTCAAATCAATTCTACTGTATAGAAAAAAATCGTAGACTTTGACACAAGCAAAAACAAATACTGTCTAATATTCGTCTGAGACGATTCACTTGGCTTCGCTATTTTTAGCCACTTGAAATGCGTTCGAGTGTTTCACATGACTCATGCATACACAATCAATCACACAGTGTGTGTGTTCTTGATTTGTTTTGATTTCGATATGAAATTAAAACATTATCAAAACTACATTTAATTTGTTCAAAGTCCGTTGAATTTCCTTTTATTAAAATTAAATTTACAATTTCATGATACGTTTGTTTGATAAATGTTTTGTGCAGAAATGATGAATATCATCGAAACTAAAATAAAACGACTTATGATGATAAGGCAATTGAATTACGTGGAGAGCATTGTGTTTCGTTGAATGCGTTTTTTCATTGTTTCGAACTTTTTTTTTTCATTCACTCAAATTAGAAACTATTTTGCTTGGCCAGCTTACGACGAGTACTTATAATTTTTAGCTGGTGTATGAATAAAAGAGCCGCAAACCCGGTTTTAATCATCTCAAAATGCCATTAAGTACTTGAACTTCGATAACGTTGGGCAATTATTTCAATTATTACGTTCGCAACAAAATTGGCATTATGTTTTATCTTATACATACAGTATGTATATATGTATGTGTTGATGTTGACCCAACAAATGATTAATTTCATTTCGACGAATATAATAAATAGCCGTGCACAATGATTTTTGATGCCATGCTACAACGCACCGCACTAAACTGAACCATATTCCAAATTGTAATTTCATTAAAATTATCACAAATAAATTATATTGCAATTAACCCAGTTTTGGGCTCTTTTGAAAATCCAATTCAATTCATAGTCAATGTGTAATGTTTTCTCATCTAAAATGCAGGGTGCCCGCAGCACGTAGTAATCAATATATTTATTTGGATGAATATTGAAATTTATTCTATTCATTTGTATCGGAATTCAAAACAAACAAAGATACGTTACATGCAAAACATTCATGTTTTCAATAGATACGCAAAATTGTATCACATCAATCGATTATGGGCCATATGTACGCATCGAAATAAGGACACCAGACACTATCTATATTAGGATTAATGCGGTAAAATTGGCCGGTGACTATAAATTTTTTATGTTGCAATATGATAGACATCGGGTATCAAGTGAAAGTAAATACTTTCGATTTGTACATGTATGTGCTGCGGGTGTGACCTTAGTGGTTAGTTTTTCTTTATTGTCACAACTTTTCCGCTTTTTATTTTCATAATGACAATATATGGTTCGTTCCATATGTGAATTTGTTCGTTCCAATTGTGCCGAACAAATCACCAAACAACCATCAATCATGACATATATTGCAAGTAATCAATATCACAGTCGACACACAAAGACCTACCGAAATCATAATTGTAATAACTGAAATGACATCAGATAGAGGAAAAATTCGGGTTGATTTTACCTACATTTTGCTTTATGAATTTCACTAGTTTTGGTTGAACGAGTGCGGATTGTAGCGCATGGATAATACAGCCCATCGATCCTGTGGGTGAACGAACTCACAACCGTATAGTGAACGCGCTAGTTAAGTACGTTTCGTTCTTTCGCTTGACACGCGTTATTCGTCAAGCATATACAAATGCAAATGAATGCACGCTTCTGGCCTATATTCTGTAGCATGAAGACTAACCATATACACAGTAATGAGTTGTGTAATGTGTATACAAGTTGAACCGTGCCGCACATAAACGCATCAACACAACAACATGGAATTCCCGCCGCTATTTCCACGATTACAATCATGGCGTGGAAGAGCACTCGTAATGTGCACCAGAGCCTTTTACAACGAAATTGAATGGACAAGTGAATTAATGGGGTCAATGAAGTAATGTTAAAGTGAAGCAATTCGTAGCCACGTTAGAATCCAATTTATAGTCTTCATCATGCGTCTTCAAACCAATTTTCGTTCATTAAGCACTTATTGAGACAATTTTAATGATAAATTCTTTTAAAGTGTTGTTTATATCATTTGAACGTGAATTTCGTTGAATTGATTCGAATCATCTTGGATCATGTTTTAAAAACTGATTATCCACATAATCTTTGATGAACGAAATAAATCTCGACATGTGCCGAAGAAGTGTGTTCAATTTTCAATCAAGATTTGAGCTTTTCAATTACTCATAACACACCGAAACCACATTGCGCACTATTGTTCGATATCAAAAAGCAGATTTGATCACTCGTTGCTGTTTAATGTTCACGCCTTACATAACCATGTGTGTATTTTGCGATACACATTGAAATGACTACCTCATCCGGCTGTTAAATGCCAAACAATAGCTATGCAACCAGCAATTTTGTTTTGTTTATAAAAATGTTCCCTTTCAAAATACAAAGTTGATTCGCTTCAAGTCAAAGGCAGAACTAAAACGAATTAGTTTAGATTGGCTAGGCTAGCTAGCCAAGCCCGATTCCATTGTGCGCGATTGTCCGACAGCATTCTTTTAATCGGAGTCAAGTGACGACAGTGTATAGAAAGCGTTAATTGCGATGAAATTTTATTGCTCCATTTGCGATTGATAATGAAAATATACCAAAATACTTTTTTCCTTCATTTTTTTTATCGTAGCGTGGAGTGCAAGACCATCAAACCACTGTATCGCAATAGCACAAAGGGCACTATACCGCATTTTAACATTTTCGACAAAAAAATTGTATTATTTGTAATGCACTTGACACCAAATAAAGTCAATCCACTCAATGACTGAACTGCGTGTTACTTAAGAGTTTTACGTTTTTGTTCACACCGAAATTCGTAATGTAAATGGGAAAATTCGAAACGAGCGACACATCGCTTACCTCACTGTTTGAGAGTTCAACCAAAAATACACATCCTTTTTTGTGTTTGATTCACTCCAACTCGTCTGAAGGCCAGCGTTACGTGTGCATAGTAAACACATGAAACGCAAACGTAACGTACGATTGACCTTAACTTATTAATTAGTACAACAAACTTGTTACCGGTGTAGAGTTCTTGTTTGATTATGAATGGATATTTCCATATATTCGCGCGTCTTTGTGGCGGACGGAAAGTGTGACCACTCAACAGCTCAATTTCATACAAACTCACAAACTTTCGTGAAATAATCGCATTTGTTTGGAACCAACGGAACTCAAAAATGATGTATTGCCGAAAATTACTTTGATGCGGATTCTAACTTTATGGTCAATTAAATTTGCGAATTGAATCGAAACAAAAACAAAGTGTACGTTGTCGGAATGTTCTATGGTTATCTCATCACGTTTCTTAGAATTCAAGGCCAATAAGTATGACCGGTCACTTGAACGAAAGTAAACTTTGCGGTTTTTTTCTCTCTCAATAGATTTGGCCAAGAAATAATGTATTCAAATATTTGGAATCGTATGTTATACTAATCTGAAAACAGAGCATACCTTTGTTCGTACTATTGACAATCTTATTTTTCGTCTTCTTACTTGAATACTCAATTTTCGTATGCCAAAACAGCAATTTTGGGCAGAATTCGTTGCGGGAAATGACGTCATTCTTTATCATTTGCGTAGCAAAAATTTGTTTGTTGCCGGTTCAAATCGCGGCATTTTATTGATTGAAATGGACAATGTAATCCCACATTTCATTTCATAGTTCAGTTTATAAGCGAAATTGCCTGGTTGTTTTCACTGAGATCCCGTTTTACTACCCGTTACACAGTAGGTGCCATCCACTGTTGGCCATATATTCCACAATCAACATTATTGTGTTCTGCATGCAAAGCAAACAACGAGGAAATGTTTATATGTTTAGTGTAGAGCGATAAAATGGGATTGGTGCTCGTCGTCGTCGTCGTCGTTAGGCACAGTTTGATTTTGTTCAGATTGTCTTGGAATGAGTTGTTCTTGACACAAAATTATCGAACTTGTTGCTTTCCAAATCATCACAATTCGACCTTGGGAAGTGTATTGAGTAATTTGTTTGCTTTTTGGCGTTTAATTCCCTGGAAGTAGTAACTATGTCTCCGTAATTCACCTTGGAGATTCATAAAAACGATGGACAGTAAACAAATGTTGATGTTTTTATTCTACTGTCATACGAATGAGTAGAAGAAGAAGAAAAAACATCGCAAATACAAAAATAGATGCCGCCAGCACGAAAATGCGACTAAATAACCCTCACAAATCGACACAACAATAATCAGATGCCAACAATAAAAAAACGTGTTTAATTATTACCTGACGAATATTAATGGGAAGAATAAACACAAATGTTTGATTGATTTGATGGCGTGTCTTTGTTGTTGAAGACGTCGAACAAAAAAACCGGACTCGTTGTTATGCAGTAAGTGTGTGAGAGTGTTCAAAATCTACGATCTTCGAAACATTTCACAGAATTCAATAGATAACAATAAACTTTTGTGTTTTGAATTTGATGCAATTTGATTGAATCGTTTTGAAAGTCACCGCTTGCGGTATCACAAAGACAAACTTTGTTCGAAATGAACGCACTTTGAATGAAATAATGGAGTTGTTTTCAATGACGTTGCGTGGAATAATGTTGTTTGAATTGAATTGCACTGTTTGGCCATCGATGCAAATAATTGCATCAACATTTATCTCACTGCATACAGAGACGAATCGAGCATGTTTTTGTCTTTTTTTCTATTCACAAAACACAATCGTACCGGATTTTCAAACGTTGTTTGTTTACTGTTGTCGTTGCTTCGGCTGGAAATCACTCAACACTGAAATCATAAGTAGAAGAAAAACGAGATGTTGCTTTCACTTCCATTCGCTTTCGTTTTCTCCCATTCGACAAAACAAAATGTTAATGGTCCATTTGCGCTGTGCGTTGTGTCGAAAATCCATTTTTTCAATTTTCGGCAATTTCTTCGCTCTGTGCAACAATAATGAGTTTTTTGAAAAATTTCATGCTATAGAAAACTATGTAAGTATGAATTTCCAATTAATTATGTGGAAAACTCTTGACAAAAAACCCAAAAACAGACAAAACCATGGCATTTGCAATGAAAAATGGATTTTCACTCAAGCAAAACACGAAAACAAATACGGTTTTTTTTTCTCTACACGTTTTTTGACTTGAAAACCATATAAGAGATGCAAGAATAATGTGCAAAAAACAATCACACTTTTCGTACCATCCGACTGAACTGAACTGAGACTGCAAAAGCGAATTTATAAATACACGCCTTGTTACAAACGAGTCTAGTCGAAAACTGAACAAAAATCAAGTATTCAAGTTTATATTTTTGTTTTGTTGCGAGTGTTTGTGTGTGTGTGTGTGTGAGCAGCATATACACTTGCGTAGGCCAACACATGTCATGTGTTGTGTGTATGTGAGATGCACGAATGTATGTAAGCCGCGCCAATGTTCGCTTTATTGCTGTGCGCCATGTATTAGTGTCGGTCTGTTTGTTTGTGCGTGTTGTTGTTAGAAACGTCATATTCATTGAGATGCTATAGCCATAGCTCACTGGAAAGCACGATGCAACACACAGCTGACATCTACTATATGAATGTTGTGGAGTGTCCACTGTAACAGTGCCACTGTTCATACCGAACCATTTTCAACGTTCTGCGAATGTTGGTCAAAACTTTATATGGTTTTTGTTTTTATCGTGCTTTGTTTATCCTTTTGCGCCTTGTGTGCGATAAAAATAACTTGTTCAATAAAGTCAACAACGGTGTAACCATTTGCACTTGACGACATAATGCTATTTTTTCTGCATTGAATGGGTGGACTTGAGTCGTCGGTTGAACAATAAAATATTAATCATTGTGTACTGGAGAATATAAATTAGCAATCGCTTGCACTCGAACAAAAAATTGATGGCGCACTATGAATGGCGTTTGCATTTTTTATGATGTTTTCTATGTGCAGCTGAATTCGGAGCATAAGCATGGAAGCGCATGCATTTTCAACAAGGATTCTTGAAGGTCGCTTGTGATGAAAACCATTATCCAGAACATTGAACTGTTTGACTTACACACGCACAACTGATAACCGCAATGTTGTCTTATCAACAATCACGTTAAGCTGCTCTGATTGAAATTTGATGAGAGTATGAGCACAAGTAAACCGGATGGGTGTATCATCAACACACATGATAAAAGTACAAACTTGAGATTCATACAAAAAAATCCACTTTATTCAAAATAAATTCTAAAATATTTTCCATCTGAACCCAACCCAGTTGTAAATTTGATTGCAGCACCACCAGTTAAAAACATATGGAATAATTTTTCAATTGTTTCGTTTAGACGCTTATTTCTTCTGGATTAAATCCAACACAAGTGGCGTGTAATAGGTGATCAAAACATCGGCGCCTGTAAAATAATCAATATTTATTCAGCTAAATTTGGACTCATTATATCAATGGTTTTATTTCTTACCCGCACGACGCATCGATGTTAGTGTTTCCATAACGATTGCATTCAAGTTGAAGGCCCCATTTTTGGCACCATGCCACAACATTGCATACTCGCCGGACACTTGGTAAATGAACAAGGGAAGATGTGGATACATGTCTTTTGTTTGACGAACAATGTCCAAATAAGCCATGCCCGGTTTCACCATCAACATATCGGCACCTTCTTCAACATCACGCTCCTAGAGTTTGAAATAATTTGAAAAATTATCAAGAAAATTAAACGAAATTAACTCAATAAATACTAACAGCGGCTCTAGCAGCAATCCCTTTTGAACCAACTGGTAACTGATAGCATTTACGATCTCCATATGCCGGTGCTGAGCGAGCGGCATCACGGAAAGGTCCATAAAAGCTAGATGCAAATTTTACAGCATAAGATAGAACGGAGACTCTACTCTCTAAACGATTTTTCCGCAAAATGCTTTTAATTGCCCCAATTCTATTGTCCATCATGTCTGATGGGGCGATTATGTGTGCACCGGCGATTGCATAAGCCAAAGAAATCTCGGCCAAACGTTGAATGCTCACTTCATTGTCCATGTGGTTTTCTTCGTCGAAAATGCCACAGTGTCCATGACTCGTGTATGGACAAATGCAAACGTCAGTTGCTAAAAGCAAATCGGGAAAGTTTTTCCGAAGCAACGGTAATGCACGAACTACTGGATTCTCTGCACAATCTGCGGAGCTGCCACGACTGTTCTGAAATCGAAAGCCGTTTTTTAAAATACAGTTTATCAATTTTCAGGCAAAAAATTATATCATGAATTCTACTTTAGGCAGCGTTTCAATAACTCCGAAAAGTAGCACCGTTTTTAATCCCTTTTCCACCAACGGCTCCAAATGCTTGACCACTTGATTCACTCCAAATCGTGATACTCCCGGCATGCTCGTGATTTCTTCAATTGCATCATCCTTTTCACTAGAATCGTTCAGTAATCAATCGATATTAATTTTTGATCTTATCATTGAATCAAATTAAAATGAATGAGCTTACATCAAAAACAGTGGGTACATCAAATTTTCCGGTTCGATGTTTACATTGCCTTCTTGCCACTTGCGAAGCGTTGGATGAAATAGACTACTGTGAAACTTTTTTGCGGCCGCCATTTCCAAATTATAGTTTACAACTGGTGCAATTAAATCAGTAATTAGTGGCAATTCAAATAGCAAATGATGAGACAAGATTTGATTGGTTACGTATCTATAACAATGGACATTTATTCTATGAATTGATTTGAGTTCGGCTTTTTTGTTGTTATTCGCCACATGACATTTGGTGCTTTTTTAGTACATTGATCCAGTACTACAGTTACGTTTTGTGAAACGTCAAACAAATATATGCACTTCTTGTCATTCGATGACAATAACATAAATTCCAAGTTAATAAAAACAGAGAAAAAGTGTATTTTTGCTAAAAAAAAAAAAAGAAGTCTATTTTCCAATCATATTTCGGTGGAAATTGTAAAATTTTCGCGAAATTAAGTGGAATTTCTGTGGATTCCATTTGGGAAATCCCGTTCATCAGTATAAAAAATGAATTTGGAAAATCCAAGTCAAATCGAATCAAAATTGGAACATGAAAGTGGGAGTCTATCGCAATTAAAGGATCATGTTGATAAATACAGAGATTTGTCCAATTCGATGTCAACAATTTTGACCAAATTCGAGCAACGACTTGGAAAATTGGAGCAAACCATTCTACCGGTTTACAATCAAACGGAGCATTTGCAGAAGCGACAAAAAAATCTGCAGTCAACACTTCAGTGCCTTGAGAATGTACTGTCGCATTATGAAGCGTCACAAGAGCAATGTAATTTGATACATTTGGGTCCATCAGAAGGGGATGTTGCCGATTTTCTCACCGGTTTGGATAAACTGAAACGGGCCAAGGACTATTTCCTCAACAATAATCCACAAAGTGTCGAATTGGAAAATGTAACGAGCTTATTTAATACAGGATGCACAACACTGGAGAATCACTACAAGGCGTTGCTGAAAAAGTACAGCACACCATTGAAGCCGGTTGATTTGCTTGATTTGATATACATTGAGGAAGATTCATCGAACGAAGACTGTACGTCAATTAAGCAAATGACACAAAGCACTCGAGAAGAACTCGGCACCATTTCCAATTGGTTGGAATACAATTTGCGTCGTGATTACATGGAGATTTATGCTGCAGAGCGATCACAAGTTGTGTTCCGTTCGCTTCAACTGCTGAAAGATCACCAGCGAACGGGAAGTTGGGAGAATGATGCATCGCGCACACGAGCATATGCTACGGGTCCGGTGAAGGTTGAACCAACGCGAAAAACTGCATCGACACGCATTCAACACTTGCTTGAACGAAAAGCGAACAAAATGCTAATGAAAGCATCTCAAACACTGGAACAATCTACCGGGATTTCTTTGAAAAAGTCCACAAATGTCGACCACAATGCACACATTGACATGATTGCCGATCGAGATCAAGAGTTGGATAAATATTTAGTTTTGTTGTTGGGCTTACAACGATTGTTCATTTGGGAGCGTCAACTGATGAATGACGTCATTCCGAAATCACGTCACAACGATGTCTTCGCCAAACTGGCACAAAGTTCCATCGAAATGGTGGTCAAAGATGCTGAAGGCATCACTGGAAAAGCGATGAGAAACATCGCTCGTAAACGATGGGCATCATCACTCGAAATATTCTCGGCATTACGTCATTTCCAATTGTTGCAGCCAGATATTGAACGGGCTTGCGATGTGAATCAACGTCAACAGATCAATTTGATTCTCCAGAAACTACAACAAACTGGATCAAAAGCATTGGATCAATTTTTGGAATTCGTCAAAGCCGATTCGGGCTCAAATTTGGTGGGCATGAGTGCGAGCACCTTATATTCCAACGTACCGAAAGACGCCACTGTTCATGAGCTAACGTCGAATACAATTTGGTATTTGGAACATCTGCTCGAGCACTGCGGTGTGATTGCTGACCTTTTGTGTCAGGACCAATTTTATATACAGCAATTGGATTCACTTTGCTCGAACAAATCGGTTTCGGCAGACGCACGAGCCAAAATCTTACTCGGTTTGTACGTGAAGAGAGTTTTGTCCGAGCTAAACCTAACCATCGTATCGAAATGTGAACAATATGGCGATTATGCAACGCGTCATCTCTTCCGCTTGAATAATATTCACTATATTCTGAAGTCATTGCAACGATCGAATGTGCTAGAGCTGCTGCTGATGACAGAACCCGAGTGTGAAAGAAACTATATGGACTTGATTCAAGAGTTGCATGGGGCTTATCAACGATCATGGGCACGATTGATTTCAATGATTTCACCGCTGGAAGATTTACCACGGCCCGTCAACGGAAAAGTCAAAGACAAAGAACGCTCAATTTTGAAGGAACGTTTTTTTGGATTCAACAAAGAACTCGATGAAGCATGCAAAACGCAACGAGCCATTTCCGTACCCGATGTCATTTTGCGCGAGGGCTTGAAACGAGACAATGCTGAAAATATCATTCCACAATACAACGCCTTCTTTGAATCGTACGCCGACGTGCAGTTCAGTAAAAACCCGGAAAAGTACGTCAAATATAAACCACAAGATGTCGCCGCAATGCTGGGCAATCTTTTCGATGACAGTGTTTAAATAATAGATAAGAAGAAATTTAATGAAATTAACTCCAAATGCAATATGTTTTAAATAAACAAAATATCATGTCGAAAATTATGTATGTTTAATGGAATAAAGAAATAACATTTAAAATTGAGAATTTGAAATGTCAAAGTCTTCAGAGTTTGTTTGTCTTGTTGTATGAGATTTTTGCTTAAAGTATATACGAATTTCTTTCAGAAGCATCGGCTACGTGATGAATTAGTCGAATTTTCACCTTCACCTTGTGCTTCTTCGTCGTATTCCTCGCCAATTGATCGCAACTTGCGCTTTCTCGGTTTTGCTTTCTGACTCGCGGATTTTCTCTTCGATTGGCTCGACCCATTTGAACCACCATTGATTGAGGCTATATCGTTCACATTGTCGTCACTCAATGTACTCCGAGTGATGGAAGTGGCCTGCAATAAGAGACAATTTCATTGTTTTATTCGAATCAATCATTTTTCTTTGTTTAATCAAGTGTGAAGAAATGTTTACCTGTGACAAAATCTCTTCGCCATTTATGTCTTTGTTTTTCAAGTTTCCAGCCCAGAAACTCAGCGAGCAGCCAGTGCAGCCAGCCAGTGCAGCCTTCACTTTGTACACAAGCTGCGTGACTGTTTCACGCAATGTTGGAATTAGAGCGATGATTGCTGTGTCTTTAATGGCCTTTATTTTCAATTTCAAACATAGTTTTATTGTCAGTGGTTCAATTTTTTTTAATTTCGACTTAATTACCTTTGAATGGCAGCATAAATTGTGCAAAAATCGAGTGGACACCTGCAATTTTTGCAAAAAAGACACCACATCATCAACTTTTCGACGTAAACTTGATTCTATGATCACCATTCCGTGCTGCAGAAATAGCTTGAGGTACGAATGTGTGTTCTAAAAATGAATTCATTTTGTTATTAGCATTTTTCAACTTTTTTCTTCAACGAATTCAGTATAAAATTATGACTCGCGATAATGTAAAAGAAATTCTACAGCCTATATGAATGTCCGAGAATGAAAACGCAACTTCTGCGTTTTCATTCTCGGACATTCATATTAAACTAGGAAATAGTTGTTAAACCGTTTTGGCGTCGGCCACGATGCAATGAATATTGCACGAATTTGGCGAACGGCTGTATTGCATGGTCGCCGCAAAATGGAACCACAACAAGCATTTTTTTATAACACGAGGAAGCTTAGCATTTGAATTATTACAAAGTATTCGTTTCGATGATATGTAATTGTATATTGGTACAAGCTTGACAATGGCACAATGAATATTCTACGAAGTACCATGACTGGAAAATAGTTGTACTATTCTTGTAGTTTAGGACTCTTTGTTATTCGACCGTTCCATTTTTGGAGTGTGTTTGAATTCAGTATAAATACCTTCAAATAGAAGAAATAAACGCGAGAAAGATCTGCCGATTTTGCAATGGATAAAAGTTGGTCGATAATTTTGACGGAATTTTCCCAAGTTTTCAATTGATTTGTCGATTGGGCATTCTTATCGAACTTCCGATGCATTGAGTCAATCAAAGCTGCAAACACTTCGCGATAGAGCGCAGGGAAATTCGTGCTACAAATAGAAGGAACATATGTCACAATGGATTTTAAGAAATCAGACTTAATTAAAAAAAAATCAGATTTACTCACACTTTGATGCATGGCAGCGTATTCAATTTGCCTCCTTTTGAACGTAAATCATTTATTTCTGCTTCGATGAACTGAAGGTTAGTTCGGATGAAGGAGAATTTTGCATCTTTGAAGTAACCCTTCAGCAATTGCTCCATCAACGAATTGTATTCCCCGCCAGTCATTTCGCGGCCTTCAAAACCAAACCATTTTCGATTTAAAAATCCTTTGCACAGTGTAACTAAGACAGAGAAAAACACATGACATTTCATATTTTTTTGAAAAACTTTCGATTTTGAGCAAGAATATGATGGGAAGTTTTTTTTACCAACGTGAACGCTGTATGCATCCTTCACTGAAACGTGCTTGATCAGCGCCTGTGCCAAATGGAACATGTACACCGCTGAATGCAAATCGACTGCAACGTCAGCGTTCTGTGTTATGTTTTTAATACCAGCCAAAGCCAAATCGCCAATCGTTTCTGGTTCGTCTTTTTCATCCACTTCACCGCTCACGGCTTTCAAAGCTTCTGAAAAAGAAATTCATCAAATTTTAATATTTATTCTATGGAAGAAAGCCAATCGTGTCGTTCCTCACTTTTCAATGTATCCTTGTTAACATCATCGTTAAATTCAGGCCATGTGAATAATGCAGCCAACAATCGTATGCACAGTCCGAAGCAAACTTTCATTAAATTTGCTTCATCGCTGAATAAATCTTCCGAAAGTGCCTCCGACTCTGAATCATCATCGTCCATATCTGCTTTTTCTGAGTTGCCAGCGATTTTCTTGAGCTGCTTCGTCACCATTTCAAAATGACCCAATATTTTCGGCAAGAAGTCAACCACATCCGAAATGAATTCGGCAGGAAAAGCAATACTTTGACATGATTCGACGGAATTGCCAAACTTCCGCACACCAAAGATTGATTCGATTTTTTGCGTCAAGTCGTCCAACAAAAACCTTCGAAGCAAAATGATGAATTTCAAATCAAATGTGATTATTGAAGTGAACATTTAACTTATTCTTCGTTAAAATGACTTAAATGAGTTAATTTCGATAAGTAATGAACCTACTTGAACTCCATCAAACCCAAAGATTTGCCGATAGATTCTGTTGGCAGTGGATATTTCATAACGAGATTTCCTTCAAATAGCACAAGAACGTCTGGATCCATGCATCGAAGAAATTCATTCAAATTCACGCTCCAATCGTTCGATCGTTTCGGCATTGTCCTAGCCGTCGGTTGCACGGTTACATCAGCCGTTTGATTTGCTGTGTTTGGCATTTGGCTGGTTTGAGTTTTCGGAATTCCTTTCTTCTTTTTCGCTGCCGGCCGTTTAGCGGCTGTTCGCTTGAATCGTGACATATTGCTACGCAAAACAGACGATTCCGTGAGGAAGATGCAAGTCGGTGGCACGTAATCGTCAGGCGCATGGGCCAATGTTTCTTTTATCTTCTGTTCCCATTCGAGGATTTCGGACAGTCGTGTCAGAACCTTTTCACGCATAGAACTATCACTTTGACTTGTGTACGCACTCACACATTCACGCCAATGATTCACTGTGTAGAGGTACATATCGAGTACACGTCGGGCTCGTTCTTCATCGAATTCATCAAAAATGTCCACATTCATCGATGGATCCATGGAATGTGGCAGAACAACGCCAGCTCCGAGGATAGCATTTATTGCCGATAAGTTGCCGTTGTGACGTCGGAAATATAGCACTCGCAGCAGATTGAACAACGAAGCTAGAATCGTGATTGATTTCAAGGCACTGCCACAAAAAATATTGCGTTTAATCATCAATGCAAAATTTGTTTAATTTATTTTGTTAATTGGTTGCTTACCTGCCGCTCGAATTCAGCAGAGTACCAGCAATATTGACAGCAATCACGGTGGGAATTTCGGTTTCCGTTTGCAGCATCTCTTCCTCACTATTCAGAACGCGCATCATTCGCAGATCCCAGTGGCGCTGGTTGAGGTCGCAGGCTGGCAACTCATCAACTATGAAATTTCCTTCGAAATAACCGGTCACCAGATTCATGAGCCATGTTAAATATGGCTTGTTAATCTGATAATCTTTTCGTTCTTTGTTCCGAACAACAAATACACTGGCGAGTTCGTCAAAGAACAACGCCAAGTGATGTGGACAGCTTTGCGCTGAAGTGATGGCCAACTCTGAAAATATCTCGGACTTAGTTATTGGTTTCTATATGTGGGAAACGTTTGCTTTTACCTATGTAATTGGCAGCCACCTTCGACAGTTTCGTCGGAAGCGAATCGATTGTGCCGAATGAATTGTTCAATTCTTCCGATCCCGAATCGCTCTCCTCCTTTCGTTCCCAGACCATGTGATCGATTACTCGAACCACGCCAATGATTCCACGGTTTTTCACATTTTTAATGCTACTTGAAACTTGTTTCTTCACCAACATATCGATATGATCTTTGAGCTGTTCACATGGTGGATCGCTGTAGGCAATCGAACAAATTATGTTCATGACCAACCGAAATTGACCCAAGGAGAAATCACTGGAGTGATCGATCAAACGCTAAAAGGAACGCAAATCAAATTGTTTTTATCTTTTTCAAATTTGAGGTTTTCTTTCAAAGCAAATCTACCATGATTTGAAGACCATTGTATTTCATTTCAGTGGGATACTTTCGGTTGATTTCACTCAAAATCATCAAAGCACTCGTTGTGAGGTCATTTTGTGACGAAGCCTTATTCGCAGCAACCCCAGAATCAGCCAAATTTAACGCTTGAGCGTTTCGTTCGCATACAAATCCTACTAAGCGCGACAGCAAGATTTTTCGATCGCATGAACCAATGCCGAAAATAAGCCTTTGATTTAAAGAACATGAGAAAATGTTTAACATTTCGAAGATGCGTTTTTTCTTTCATGAATGGTTGAAAATATTTACCGATATCCAACGTTTGCAAAATTCGAAATCACCGGATTTTTGTCACGTACAAATGTGTCGAGAAGTTCGAAGAGCACTTTAGAATAATCAAGCAAAATGACGGGCAAAAGGCGAACGGTTTCTTCGAGCAGTTTTACATCGATGATGTCTCCCTTTAGCTTTCGACGAATCTGGTCAACAAAATTCGTAAATGTTCTGGTCTAAATTCATTCAATTTCAAGCAAAATATTTTTTTTGCTTGAAAATAATTTCGTATTGAAAACAGCAAAGTAAATGCATACTCACGATATTCTCAATGGCTACACTTTTTTCATCATTAATCGTCATCATCATAAGCAAAATGATGAAATCAATAGGTTTGTGTTGCTCAGAATTCGACTGAATGTGCTTGAGCCAAACATCGAATAACTGTTTCGAACGGATCAGGCTTCGTGACACACAGCCGAAAACTTCACGCTGATTCTTCTGAATGCTCGATCGAGTCGTTGGCAATTCATCAGGCCATCGCAAACAAGATCGTAAGTTTTCGATTATTTCACGCAATCTGCTAACTTCTTCGGTGCTGAATTTCAAAATGAATTTGGTGAAGCATGGCAACAACTGTCGAGGTTAGAAGAAAGTTAAATTAAACATGAAGGGCTTTGAAGGGTGAAAATTTTCAATGTTATCGATCTGGGTATTTACAGTATTCGGTGCGCTGGTTTTGATGTAGCGAATGATTTTTTGACAAATCTGCGAATGAATACTGGGGCTCAGGCACATATTACCAAATGTATCAATGGTCTCTTCTGTCAATAGATCAGCATCATTCGGGATAAGTTGCCTATTTAAATTTGGAATTATGTTTGTCAAATAGATGCAAAGAAGATAGTTCCGCAATAATTCCGCAAATTTGTTGCAGAAAGTACATAAAGCCAGGTGACTTACATCAATTTTTCAATAACGTCATTGTGTCTGGTCAAGTCGACAATGTCCTCAAGGCTCTTGATGATTGTCCGACGTGCTGTATCCGATGCTGTTTCCAATGCTTCAAACACTTGTTCACACACAAATTCGCCATGCGACAAATGATCGACGAATTTCAATTGTGCCAACAGTAGGTCGATCTCCATGTTGGACGCATTTGTTCTGAAATTTACGCAAGAGATTCAAACCGAAAATCAGACAAAATAATGAGATTCAAACCATCTATATAACGGTAAAATTTAATGAAACACTCACTCTTCAACAGCCAGCACTCTAATTTTTCGCATAATAATTGCAATGATGTCTTTTTGCATAAAGTCAATCATAAGAAAATCATTCATCAAACTTTCCATCGACTGTTTTTTCACTTCTATGTTGGGCAATGTGATCTGTGCCATGAAATAAAAACGAAAAAAATATTTCAAATTATGAAAGAAATGATTTCAAAAAATCTCTTACCATGCAGCCGCTAAGCAACTTAGTCAACTGTATGCTGTTCTTCATTGTCTCGTTTATACCGGAGAGAAATGTTTGAATATTCTCTGGGTATTTTGGATGAGAGGTGAGCTCACGTCGAAGGCGAACTACAAATTTCAAGTGGTCACAATTGAGTGTGTAGCTCAATTCTGAATTGCGGCCTGTGAGCACAACACCACAACGACTCAACACACTGTCAAAGTAAGATGACGGCGTTTGTTGTGTGTTTGACAGTTGAGATCGAATAAGAGCGCTACGTTGAGAGATGTACCGACTCGGCTGCACTACTTGACTCGGTGGAACAGCGAAATCGTCATCGTTTGAAATGATTACTGGTTGTTGTCTTTGTGATGCTGCCGGTTGACTTGGTGGTACATTTTCACGTCCACTCAATACATTACTCGGACCAGCAATCGGTTCATTCGGTGTCGATGTTATCGGTGGATTGGTTGCTGATGAAATTGTACTCAAATTCTCCGAAATCGTTGTAATCGAACTTTTACTCGATTCAACCTTTTTGATTCCACCACCAATTCGATATCGTTTACCTTTATACATTGTTTGCACACTTGTTGGACACTTTAAACGAAAATATACACAAAATACTCAAAACGAAATATACTTCACATCATATTCAAACTATGTTCTAGCGCAAACAGCGTATATGTATGAACCTGTTGACTTTTTGTGTTCATGCCAAACTGACACTTAATTTTAGCGCCATTTTCCATTTAGAACACTTCAGCAGACAACCGAAAACTGACGTACTAGATTTGGAAATCTATACTCTGAATAAGTTCAAGTCGAATCGTTGTTTTATTTACAAAATTGTTTCGATTTTTTTTATTTTCATTTTGCTTTTACTTCAAATTGACTTAAAAACCTAAAAAAAATACATTGAGCAACAGATGATCACATCAATAGCTTTCATTTTGGAATCTCATCGAAAAATAATTTGATTGGCTTAATTTTTTTTAGTTGGCGAAAATTTCGGCAAATCTTTCATAGCTTCAATATCAATATCAATCGCATAAAAATTTCATAGTTGTAAAGAAAATCGTTGTGTTCTATAAATGACAACTGCAATTTTCTTCGGCCACTGCTTCATTATTTGATGGTGATTTTTCGTCGTCGTCATGACAACCTTTTGGCGAAGAATTTACTTCACACATCACTTGATTTTCATGACATGGATGGACTGCTGTTTCTGGTTGTTGTGGGGCGCTTGGACAACAATTTTCGGCCGTTTTGCTTGCTGTAAATATTTTTTTTACGAAAAACAAAACATTCATTAGTTCAAATGTTGAAATGATTGAAAACAATTAAAACCACGTTTTCTCTAAGAGTTAATTGAACATTCCAAGATAATCAAGAGAGTAAAACCATAGATATAGTGCCGTAATACATTTTAAATGTAAGACTTCTGCCACACTGTAGTCAATGCCATCTCTAAACCAACTCATTGAATCATT